GAGGAGCATCACCTGCTCTACGTCTGTCAGGCCTCAGTTTTTGTCGACGACGCTCAGCCCAACATGGTCAGGAGGCTTTCCAGATCACTCTATGGGTTGTGGCAGGCAGGGCACCAGTGGAACAAGACGTTTGTCGAGAAGTTGCGGGGACTGCGGTTCACCCAGTAGAGGGCGGCCATTTCGCCTGCCTGATGGAGCCGGTGAAGGACGAGGAGGGAGATAAGGACGCATGGGAGTGATCCAGCAACAGCAGAACATAGGAGGACAGCTCAAGGCCCCCGACCACGTCGACTTGCACCTACCCCATCTCCTCTTCAACTCTCACTCACCCAATCTGTCCTCGTTCCACCTCGCTCCAAGCTCGGCAAGCTTCCTACACCTCACCCTACCACACGGCCCACCCACCTCCCCTTCCCGCCATCGATGTTACTGTCGTCGCGGTTCAAGAAGGTCAAGATCAAGATTGGCATTGTCTCAATGATATCTCCATGTTTCAGTTCCGTTCTTTGCTTCCCAAGCCTCACACACCCTCTTTCACCAGCTCACCACGCGGCGCCCTCCCACCCTCACTCCTTCCTCTCTTATTGCACTTTCTCACTCTTACACCTACTTTTCCGCTCCAATACGCTCATCCACCTTTCTCCACCTCTTATAGCCCTCCACGTTAGTAGATACCCCTTCTAACTTGTTTTGCGCTGTGGCAGCCAGTCTCTGCTAGCCGCGATGGGCTTAGACCTGACCGGACTTCAAACAAGAACTTCTCTCTTTCTCTCTCTCCTCCACCTCGTCCAACTCCACCCAGCGAGCCACTGACAGGGCGTTCCTCTCCGCGACATCCTTCCAACACACCCCCTAGCCATGACAGTTGGCGAGCCCAATCATTCCGCAGAACCAACAATGCTTGAACGAAGCGAGACCCTTGGTGAGCATGTCAGCTGGCATGTTGTCCGTAAGAATCCACTCGAGCTGGACTTTGCCATTTGTGACGCATTCCCTCGAGCAGAGGCATGGACAGCGAAGTGCTTGGTGCAGTGGTGACTGGCTGGGTGGGCGGCCCCTCACAGACATTGTCAAGACTGCCTCTTCGAATACTACGCTGGCCTCTCCATACACCAGGTGACACTCCTGGGCCAATTGCGCACAGACGTCCGCGCTCAACGCCCACCGCGCGCGATTTGACTTGACCCGTTCCGACCTCTGCAAGTGCGGCAAGGCGGAGACACAGGAACATCTCCTGTTGCTCTGCCCACTGCACGAGCAGACTTGACACTTCTTTTACAAACACATTTGACTGCACCAGAACCCGGCAATCAGCTTGCTCCTTGGCAACATCGACTTCCGCGGTCCCCTCCTTGACTTCATTGCAGCCACCGGCCGAGTTGCGCGCCTGATGGAGCCAGCGAAGGACAAGCAGGGAGGGGAGGGCAAGAAGGAGAGGGGAGAGCAAGGTGGAGCGTGAGAGGAGACTCCAGGGCGCCACATCCACCCCAATCCCAACCAACTCGACAGTCTACCAGCTGACTTGCCCACACCTCGCTCCCATCGCTGTTGTCAGTGTTGTTGCCGCACAAGAAGGTCAAGATGGATTTTGGCATTATCTCAATGGTTTCGCTATGGTTCGGCTTTGTTCCATTTCCCTCCAACCCTTCACTCTCATCTCTTCTATCCTACCCTAGCTTATCTCCTCACTGCCACCCCTTCCCAATCTACTTCACCTTTTTCACTGCTACCCTACTTTTCCGCGCCACTTCTGCCCAGCCACCCACTGTACCACTAGTATAGCCTCTCCACATCAGTAGATACCTTGCCTGACTTGTTATGCGCCGTGGCAGCCAGAGTCTGCCGATCTACATGGGCTTAGCCCTGATTTAACTTGAAACAAGATCTGCTCTCTTTCTCTCTCTCTATCGCCTCCACCAGCCAATCTTTGGCCTCCTCCGGCATTGGCAGGCCGTGCACAATGGCCGCAAACAGGGCACAGGGCGTGGCAGGAGAGCGGCCGGCGGGCTGGCGGGCAGAGTCAGCTCAGCGACGGCCGGTGATGGGCGGGAGAGAGAGATTCTTGTTTCAAGTTGTTTCGGGGCTAAGCCCATGATGACCGGCAGAGGCTAGCTGCCACAGCGTAAAACGGTGGGAATGGGTATACTACTAATGAGTGGAAGTCGTTAGAGTGGGCAGACAGATCGAGCGGCAAGTAAGAAGCGGTCGAGGGGAAGATATTGGAAGGGCGACGACTTGTCGCTCAACACTGG